AAATGATGGTTCGACGAAATGGACGGTTCGCTAAAACCAATAAACCAGGCAATTCAGGCCAATTTGGAAAGAAACTAGATAGCGTGACAGCGAATGAGGATAGTAAGTGAAATATATTTTGCAAAGGTCAGCTTGTATACTACTGGGTAACCCTAAATGATGAGAAATATGTACAAAATATGTTTTGCATGATTTATTCATATCCCAATGATTTAACTCCTTCACTGCATCTAATAAGGTATATAGATACTAATTACGGGACATTTAGGAATTAAGTGACTAGACCAAAGCAAGCATGTTTGAGATTTTAATGATTTTAAATAAATTACCACTTCATTATTTGCTTTTAGACATTCAATCAGTTTTATTTGTCCAACAAACCATATTCACAATTGTTCAATCCAACGAAGATTAGGGGATAAGCTATAGAGACCCCTCCATTTGTCCGTCCATCCATCTTTCAACTAGACAAAGCAACACCAAAGTGTAGCAAATTCCATCGAACAGCCATGGCTGGCATTTTTTTTACAAACAAAGTATACAGCAAAAATGGCAGCCATTTTTCAAAATGGCCACCTTCTACCAAAAGTGTCATTAGACAGTGTGCCACACTTATAGTATTCACGCATCAAATATGAACAAAATCGCTCTACTACTTTTCGAGTTATAGTAAAATACGTTAAAATGACGGCCATTTTTCAAAATGGCTGCCTTCTACCAAAAGTGTCATTAGACAGTGTGCCATGCTTATAGTATACACATACCAAATATGAACAAAATCGCTCCACTACTTTTCGTGTTATAGTAAAATACGTTAAAATGGACGCCTTCTACCAGAAGAGTCATTAGACAGTGTGCCATGCTTATAGTATTCATATACCAAATATGAACAAAATCGCTCGACTACTTTTCGAGTTAGAGCAAAAATCGTAAAATAACGAGTAAAGGCCGCCATAGTTCAATTCTTTGAAGCAAATGATTCTAAAAGTACAACATATCTTTGAAAAAATATCATTCTGTTAAGTGAAATTGTAAAAAGTATTTTGCAATGTGTGAAATTGAATTAAAGCACATGATTCAATGAATAGTGGATGCTTCAATTCACTTATGTCTTCTAGTTTAGGCTTTGAATTCGGACTACCACCCTCGTTCATAGTCTAGAATCAGGACATATGTTGAATTTAATCATCTACAATGCATTGAGTCATTGGCTTAAATCCTATAATATAATATGCCTATCAATATAATATGTAATTATTTAAGTATCATCTCAATGCTTTAATTTTAATAGAATTATTTTAATATTTTACTAACTGTATAATATGTAGTTTGCATTACTGTTGATAAATAAATAAATGATTGCACTGTTCAGTAAAGAAATATAGCAATTGTATTATTTAAACTGACTATACACTATAGAAATGATTTTCATTGAAAAATCAAATCAGTACCAAAATTATGGTTACCCTGTAGTAGTGAAAGGCACATTAAAAATGAATATCACCCCCTTCAATCTATTTTTACAGGTTTTTATGATTATTTCAGATTTTTCTATAGTTTGCGTAACCAGGACGGTGAATTTTCTTCATTTTCCATCAAACATTTCGTCTTACCAATATTTATTAGATCTGTCAATTTTATCAAAATCGCGCCGCTACGTTTGAAAATAATTCAAATTATGTAGTTTTTCCCATTGAGCTCCATTATAAAAATGGAATTTTCAAACTTAATATTTTAAAATTCTACGTGGTGAAAAGTTGCATATTGAGTAGTTAGTTAATGTTATGGTGTTAAAAATTCAAAACAAAAAGGAATAAAGAAAAAATGCCACAGAGAAGTCTCAATAGAGTCTCTTTAATTGCAAACGTGATGTGAATTACTCTGTGGCTGCCTGGAAATCATTTTGCCATAGAGTTTCATTTGCAGCAGTTAACTGGAGAAAAATCCTTGTTTTTACCTAAATCACTTGTTGTTTTTAGGATTTTTTCAATACACCATACTTCCTTGTTAAAATGGTAATTTACAATCAAATGCCGGGGGGAGGGGCCTTCTATATTTTCTGGAGAAAAGCAACTGCTTTTCAAATATACTTTCCTGCATTTGTATTACAATTTTTATTTCAAATGGATGATAATATTTTTAAGATACATCAGTATTTAGCATCTGAACTGCAGTATAATTACTCAAGGGGCTCATTTTATTTGCCCATCTATTCATATATACTGAAGTAAAAATTCTGGTCACTGAGTCCTTTCTCAAAATAGTTTCTACTTCAAAGAGATGCTTAACCTTTAAGGTCTAAATGACAGAAAACTTTATGAAAATACTTGTACATGCCAGTGTCTCCTCATCCAGGGTTAAGTAATGTATCTAATGGCCATTTTTTAACAATGCATTTTACTGTATAACTGTATAATTATGTCTTGTAATTGATTTTGTGAGGAAGCCAATTGTTTTGGCTTGAAATACAATAAAATCTTCAATCTAAAATCTTGAATCTTGATTAAGACAGAACATTAAAGATTATGTAACCTAAAGGTATTCTAAAAGTACAACATATCTTTGAAAAAATATCATTCTGTTAAGTGAAATTGTAAAAAGTATTTTGCAATGTGTGAAATTGAATTAAAGCACATGATTCAATGAATAGTGGATGCTTCAATTCACTTATGTCTTCTAGTTTAGGCTTTGAATTCGGACTACCACCCTCGTTCATAGTCTAGAATCAGGACATATGTTGAATTTAATCATCTACAATGCATTGAGTCATTGGCTTAAATCCTATAATATAATATGCCTATCAATATAATATGTAATTATTTAAGTATCATCTCAATGCTTTAATTTTAATAGAATTATTTTAATATTTTACTAACTGTATAATATGTAGTTTGCATTACTGTTGATAAATAAATAAATGATTGCACTGTTCAGTAAAGAAATATAGCAATTGTATTATTTAAACTGACTATACACTATAGAAATGATTTTCATTGAAAAATCAAATCAGTACCAAAATTATGGTTACCCTGTAGTAGTGAAAGGCACATTAAAAATGAATATCACCCCCTTCAATCTATTTTTACAGGTTTTTATGATTATTTCAGATTTTTCTATAGTTTGCGTAACCAGGACGGTGAATTTTCTTCATTTTCCATCAAACATTTCGTCTTACCAATATTTATTAGATCTGTCAATTTTATCAAAATCGCGCCGCTACGTTTGAAAATAATTCAAATTATGTAGTTTTTCCCATTGAGCTCCATTATAAAAATGGAATTTTCAAACTTAATATTTTAAAATTCTACGTGGTGAAAAGTTGCATATTGAGTAGTTAGTTAATGTTATGGTGTTAAAAATTCAAAACAAAAAGGAATAAAGAAAAAATGCCACAGAGAAGTCTCAATAGAGTCTCTTTAATTGCAAACGTGATGTGAATTACTCTGTGGCTGCCTGGAAATCATTTTGCCATAGAGTTTCATTTGCAGCAGTTAACTGGAGAAAAATCCTTGTTTTTACCTAAATCACTTGTTGTTTTTAGGATTTTTTCAATACACCATACTTCCTTGTTAAAATGGTAATTTACAATCAAATGCCGGGGGGAGGGGCCTTCTATATTTTCTGGAGAAAAGCAACTGCTTTTCAAATATACTTTCCTGCATTTGTATTACAATTTTTATTTCAAATGGATGATAATATTTTTAAGATACATCAGTATTTAGCATCTGAACTGCAGTATAATTACTCAAGGGGCTCATTTTATTTGCCCATCTATTCATATATACTGAAGTAAAAATTCTGGTCACTGAGTCCTTTCTCAAAATAGTTTCTACTTCAAAGAGATGCTTAACCTTTAAGGTCTAAATGACAGAAAACTTTATGAAAATACTTGTACATGCCAGTGTCTCCTCATCCAGGGTTAAGTAATGTATCTAATGGCCATTTTTTAACAATGCATTTTACTGTATAACTGTATAATTATGTCTTGTAATTGATTTTGTGAGGAAGCCAATTGTTTTGGCTTGAAATACAATAAAATCTTCAATCTAAAATCTTGAATCTTGATTAAGACAGAACATTAAAGATTATGTAACCTAAAGGTATTTACTCGAACCCCTAGTTTTCTTGATATTGCATTAATATTAGGAACTCTTACTTATAAACAAACATAGCTCTCACAATTTGCTATAGTTTTGTAGATTGCAAGATAAGATCTCAAGCTCTATTAGATATTATCTCTAACTAATACAAATAGTCTTATAAGTCATAAGTTATTGTATACATTAGTCATTTTGTCAAAGTGAGCTCAGAAAATGTCATGCTGGTCATATTTCAAATTGCAAACTAGATTTCATGAGACGGGAAACAGCAAATAAAGAGGCACCCATAGCCAGGTTTTCCCAAGGAGGGCACACCTTTTTGGCCCAAAATCACTTGCAAAGTGCTCAGAATGGTGAAAATAAATTGGCTAGGAGGGCGTTTGCTCGCAACCCTTACTTGTTAGTTGACACTTTTAAATTATATAGAAAGTTCAGAAAATCTGGAGGTAGAGAGATATCTCAAAAACATGGCCATCTCTGTTTTTCACAGTGGCTGTGGATATGATGATTTCAGTGAAAGTTCAAAAAGAATTTCGTGATTTCCCACGAGTTGTCTTCAAGCAATTAAGGTCATGTGATCTGAGAGACCATCATGAGCAGGGCACGCCTTAAGCGTCGGACAGCTGGTCATTATCTGGTTACTTTTGATACTGACCAGTTGATTTTTTCACTAGGTATAGGAAAATAACATTGCAACTGGTCAGTAATGCCTTTTTGACCAGCAGCTCTGGAATCCTTAGGGCATACACTGATCATGAGGGAAAGAAACAATGGTTCACTCGTGTTAACATTCCTTAGACTTTTTAGATGAATGTTACTGTATGAAATGCAAAATAGCTAAGTTTGTTATTGGAAAAGGGGTACCAGCCTTGATTGATTTTACGTCATTTGTATTTTCAGCTTCCAGTAGAAAACAGTGTTGAGAAGACATTATGTTGCTGGCTATGTACCTCAGGTCCAATATGTATCAATGCAAGAACAGACAGGAGGGGCTACTGCCCAGGTAATGTACCATAACTGAAAAACAAGAAAAATATAAAAAAAATTCTAAAAAATGATTGGGCGATAATAGGGTTTTATTAGGGCGAATATGGTAGTTTATGTGCCAATTTAATTATTGTGATGCAATATTGCCTTGCCAACAACAGCCAATATAAACATTTAAACAGGCAACAAACTTGTTGATTTATTCGTTTGAAACTTTCAAATTCACTTTGAGAAGACCTAGATATGATGAATTTTTTGTATCTAGGTGAATCTATTGCTATATCTGCTGACTTTGAGAACTACTCATCGAGGACGATAATCCCATACGCAACATTGCACCAGACTCAGACGTTCTTTGCCAATGGCAAGTCAAGAGTAAGAAGTACAAAGTTTACTGTACTTACTGGGCTACCTGTGTCACCCGGGAACCGAGCCACGTGGGATGCTCAGCTGTTGAAGATACCAGCAGTGTCGCCCTCTATTATGAACTGCCATGTGATCAAAGTGGACTATTATGTCAAGGTATGTCTTCAGATACCTTAAAATGAAATTTTCTATGAATGAAAAAAATCATATATTTGATACAAAATCACAAGATCATATGAAAAAGCAGCAAGTAACACAAAACCTAATAAAATGTTTACTCCGGTGTATTTCCTCCAAGTTGTCAAGTTTCATGTTTTTTACTTTGATAATACCAACATGACATTGATCATTGAATGATAAAATAAAATAATGATTTAATATCAAGCAAATAACATGTACAATATGAATAATGAGATATTTTATAGTGTTAACTGTAGATATTATCCAAATATTTCATACTATTGAAGTGAACACCTGTTTGATCTTTCAATGATTCTAAAGCCTGAAGCCTGGAGGGCCAGGGGAATACACGTTGTGGAATCATTGAAATTGCAACGTAACATGTCTTCTTATTTTTAAATCACATGTTATGTGTAGACCAATGAGAGAGTGGGGATTATGACAATGATATAATAATGATTGACATTATATGTATTAATTCATGATTTAGGTAGCCTTACACATACCTGGTGCCTACAACCTTGCTCTTCATCTCCCAATCGTCATAGGAACAGTGCCATTCCGTCGCTTAGCAACCTACTTAACAGACACTCGGATGCTACAAGAGGCACTATTTGCTAGCAATCTTGTTGTGCCATCTCCCCCGCCTTACAGAGAATCCCCCACTCCCCCTCCCCCTATTGACTTCCAAATTGATGGTAAGTGATATGATGATATATTCATTCATTATTGATATATTCAATGATTTAAACAGATAGTGTTTCATGAAAAAAATCTTTTTTTGTGATTTAATAAAATGAAACATTGTTTATACTGTACTACATATTGCTAGTTGAATGTTACTAAGTATTACTAATTTTGTATTTGTTTGGTGCATGTTACAATATTTTCGATGTTTATATTTATTTGGTGATTTATATCTGTCATGAAGTAATTGCCTTGTATGATTTATACGATATGTGAATTTTTTCAAAATTTTGACTGATGATGACAATGATTCCTCTTTTAATTCTGATATGTCGATACATTATTGTACCCAACATTATAAGCATTTTTGGATGGGTATTTCTCAAAGTTAATGCTCAATGTCAAGGCAATTTCATCTAGCAGTTCCCAACCTACAGTAGATGTTCTCAATGTTGTCTTTTGTTTATGAAAAGCTCTGCTTTTAGATCTGGGTTGACCAAAATTTTTAATGCAGGAGTGAGCAATTTTGTCTGCAGATTTCAAATGATCCAGATTTAAAAGTGAACTTTGATAGTGCATGTTATATGTTCAAAGTGCATGTTGTAGAGTCCAGAACTGGTCATTCTGAAGTTTTGATTGATCGACCAGTCAGGCCTCCACCTAGGAGATCGCCAAGGCAACGACGAAACACAACAGTTTCTGAAATTGATATGTCCGATCAACCAGACATTTGGAATCTCTCTGGAACTGCTGTGCAAGAACACGAAGCCCTTAATGGAAATGAAGGGAACAGTCACCACCAGCAAGCAAGTGTGCCCCGTTCTGACAGATCTAATCTAATAGACCAGACAAGACAAGCACGCGAAAGAGCAAGGCACATACCTAAAACTACTCCTATTCAAGAAGATGCAACCCTCAATGATGTATCCATAGATAATAATAATGACACTCACAATACAGTTGAACAAAATGCATCTGAACAAGATGCAGCTTCACAAATAGAAAACCCTGAAAATGGATTCACATCTGAGGTGGAGTCCCAGTCTGGAGTGGAGACACAGTCTGGGATGGAGCCCTTAGCTCCAGGTGGTCAGATCCCTGGGATGGTGATTAGACCTAGGGAGTTGAGACTTGGTAGTCTACCTGATACTTTTCCAGATGTTGTCTACAGTAAGCCTCAAATTGTCACACTAAATAAACTAAAGTACACTGTAATTGGATAATGTAATGTAATAGATTGTGCATGTAGGTATCCTCTATTGCATGATCTCTTTTGCATCATTTATTCAATGGTGGTAGTAAACCTGGATGTAAATGTTTTATTTATACATCTGTTAATATTTAAATGTTGTAGTGCATTGTTTTCATTTTGTCACTTTAATGTTCAATTAGCCTTACAGTGTATTTATGTCATTGTTGCTTTATATTAATATTTGTTTTCTTTATGTTCGTAAATTGTTCATTATAATATGGTGATCTAGTCAGGCATGTTGTTGGACCTTTAGTCTGATAAAGTGTAATCCATGTTGCAGGGCCTCCAACCTATGCTGAGACTATCTCAGGGGCCGTGAACCTGTATGATGACGATGATGATGAGGACCATAGAGGTGCCATGGGAGAGCTGACTTTCACCCCAATGTACACATATGTTTATGATTATAGATACAGAGCACCTCCTGCATATACAGAGGTAAAATTTCATATGCTAAAAAAAAAAAATAGATTAACAACTTAAAAAGGTGGAGGAAGGGAGTGGATGATATCTTGAGCCTTGTGTGTTCAGAGGATGAAAAAGTTGAAGCTTTGTGATTCAAGATTTTTAAGTAGAATGTCCCATAATAATTGATGAAATATAAGATAGATGTCCCATATGGTAAGTTATGCTGTTTATGAATTATTAACAAGGAAACAATATGAAATAGTGGTGCAATAATTAGAGGTTATGTCACTATCGTTGCATATATGCCCGAGGGTTTCAGTGATATATGGCCCGACCTTGGGAGGGACATTGATCACTGAGAACCGAGGGCATATGTGCAACTATAGTGACATAAATGATTTATGACATACCTATGATGATGTAGTCTGGTCAGAGAGTGTCGTTTTCTAATCTAATTGACTAGCAATGGTTCGGAAATGGTGATTTATTCCCATGTTTATATCTTACGAATGTACGAGTCAATTTGACCTAGGCCTAATGTATGACGTAGTCCCAGCGCTTGACCAATCAGAAAGTTAGCGGGCGCGGGCTTTTCAAAAGTTATATTGGCCCACTCTCTTGTGAACAGTTTCCACTATACTTCGTCATAGATATGTTATAATGAGCTTTATTTTCTTATATTCTGTTCAATATTTTATTTGTTTAAGATACAGTATTTATCTTCAAGAAAATAATGTGTACCTTATGAATCACTTTTCCAGATGGACCCCCATCCAAGGGCCAGAAGTGCAAGCAGTCGATTATGACATCACAGGACACACAGACAGACAAACAAATCAAATACAAGACCAGTCATCTGAGATGAATTTCACATTGATGTGATACTGTCACAAATACACAAAATGACCAGAGGTGCAGCTAAAATGGATAGTTTTATATCCACGAGAGGCATTACATTATCATATATAACCGCATTATTATGATGAGATTAAGTTATATCTAATGAAATTTATCTCAATGAGATTTAAACTTAAAGAATATTAAGCAAAGGCAGCAATATTTTTCCTACAATTTCTGCTTTGAAGATGAATTAGAGGATCAATCTATTAGGATTTAATCAACATTTATTTACTATAACGGTGCATGTGCAGAAAGTTTGAGGAGATGAGTGAATCTTTTGAGCTTGAGAAATTCATTTTTCAGATTCAGTTTTGTATTTGGAACATTTTGACATGCATCATGTACCACATTTACTTTGGCAAATAAGGAGCTAGAATCTGAAAAAAAAGAAACCGAAATCTGCAATGTTGAGAATCTGTATACCTTATCGCATAAGTTAGAATGATCTTTAAACGAATAAGACCATTTCAGTGTGAAATTGGACATATTTTTAACTCCATTTCATTATTGACACCAATGTCTTTCCTTTAGAGAGCATGACATGGATTTAAACTTACTTGTCAAAATGAAAGTATGGATTATCATATTATTTCCACTGTTGACGCTGGTCTAGATTAAGAAAACTTGCTCTGCCCAAGATTTGACACACTTTGCCACACTTATCTCATGTGTATGTGTTTAAAATGGCAGAGTATCATCAGCCATGGTTAGATCCAGTGTGATATAGCAATGACACTTGGTATGCTAGAGATATTGATCTCTTCTAGTACACGCTTTGCATTAGGCACCTAAGTTGTCTGAGGGGGTGTGAATGAGGGAGGATATATTTATGTCACTCTTAGATTTAAGACATATGCCTCATAAATACTCACATAGTCTTGTATGATATAAATTAGAAAGATAAGCTAGAAAAATCATGTTTCTTAACAATAATGCACTTATGTAAAATTGAAAACTTATATTTATAAGGAGCATTTTATACTATAATTTAAATCATACATATGTACATAAATAATTGATCAGTGGTTTTGTGACTTCCTCTCATCCTCGATTCCATTTCTTTATACAGCACACATATTTTTGAGTGCTTAAAGTCTTTTATATGAGGAAGGCACAAATTTATTGATCTAAGGAATTTTATAGGAAACTCATAGTGATAAACAGGAAATTGAGATTTCAGTAAAATAGATAATCAATAATTGAGGTTAAGTTGAAGCTTTGGCAAAATAATATTCAATTGTGGCAACATTACCACTTGTGTGGTAGCTATTTGAATGTATGCTTTAAACAAAGTCTTGTATTGCATACTCATAGTGATATTATACCATGTACAGTATATATTGTGATGAATAACTAAGTCTTTGCATGGTATCCCTTTTGTACTGGGTACTTAAATTTATATTGTGAAAGCCAATATTTGTGATTTATACACGGGTTGTGAGATGAGAGTAATTTTGGTTGGTCAGTTAATTTGCCTCAGTGTTGTCACATGTTAACTTGTGGAACAAAAATGATGAAAAAAACACAATTATCCAAACAGACGTCCATTTCTCTAAAATATTGTCAATCTTTGAAATCCAGTTATCTTACGGGTAGGTTATTGCCATATATGGTGGTAGCTAGGAAGAGACTCGTGACAATTGCCCTGTCACTTTTTGGAAAAAATAAATGAGTAAAGTCCCAAGTTGAAATACTGCAATACTATTTGATGCTTTTAGAAACCAGCTATTTGGGAACATTTGTTTAACACTTGCTTAGTTAATATTTATTATAGTTAAGTTGTTGTATAACGTGCAATAAATGCCAAGTTTGTTATTGTTTAGTATTATAAATTGCAATATTATAACATAATGAGAGCTTTCACTTACTCAGCTATCACAGTGCAAATGATGCAATGCAATGCTTATTATTAATTTAAAGGATTATTAATTTTAAAGATTATTAATTTAAAAGATTATTTGTGTACTTGTCTAGAGCGCAGCCCCAAGAAATGACACAAATAGAATCAATGGAATAAAATGTGCATCAGGGGTACAGTTGAGGCAACATTTGAGGGTAACCCATGGCTCAAAAACAGCCACAGTTAAATGAGCACAAGTACCATCGATTTCTTTTTTTTGAAAATTTACCATGAACTCCCATTGCACATTGTTATCCATTGTCCATTCATTCATGTTTTTTGCAGCTGTGCTCTAGACTGTATGGTATTAGATTAGACTGCTGTCACTTTATGTTTAGTTTTCTCCACTGTTAAACTTCATAAATGTTCAATTAAGTTATCAATTTTCTCCATGTAATTGTTAAGTTTTGTACGAGAACTCATGAGTGCATGTTATGCCATTTATATTTTTCCAGTGTGACATGATGTCATTTGTGGCATGAAAATATGATATTTGGTTGACATCATTTTCGACTTTTTGAACTAAACTAGTAACTTACAAATATCACCTTTTTTGTTATCATATCATTGAAAATGTCACATAGACTTGGTTATTTTATGACTTAATTGGTTATTTTATGACTTAATGAGTCTATCTGAAATCAAAAACTCTATATGTCAGAGAAATATTCCATATTGTAGTTCCATATCTTTTGTAAGTTGTGTTGTACAGTATTGTACAATAAGATAATATTGTGTAAAAAGAGAAGAACTCGACCACCTGTAGCATAATATATTTTTATTATGTGTAATAATTGTAATCTTAGGGAAGAACACATGAATTTTGCCAAATGTCAACATTAGCGATTGCTCCACAGGGGTTGTCTCAAAGGTTTCTCTAAATTATACACTTTTTTAATTTTATTTAATGTTCAGTTTCGAACTATGTAAATCTTGTCATGAAAAAAGTTCTTTGAATAATTTTTAATAGAAAATGGATAGAATTGAAAGTTTTAACATAGTTAACTACAGGGTGTCAAATAAATATGTTCTCCCCTTGATTTCAAGAGTATGATATTTTGTGCATAAAAGTGCACAAAGTTGAGCAAGTCAGTTGAAACTTCTTGTAGAGTTGCTCCATAAAGCCTATTTTTAATGTGCTAAAGAACAATTCAGATATCAATATCATACAGACAAAAAAGTTATGCAACATTCTGTTGATGTTAAGTTGAGGGGGAGAACATATTAATTTGACACCCTGTAGAGTGGCATCTCACCACACTTCCACACTTACTAAATGAAAGCATGTGTAGGATATAGTGAAATATATTTGAGACAGAACCTAAAAGAAACACAAAATTAATGTACAATAAAACCTGCAATGGAACACCTTTGTAAATGGAACACAGGTTAATTGAACCTCTAAGTTAAGTGGAACACTTTTGTAAATTGAACATATTTTAAAGTCCTATGACCCATTGACTCAATGTTAATTGAACCTCAAGTTAAGTTGAACACCTTAGTGGAACACTTAATCAGAATCAAGGGCCTTCCACTTACACAGGTCTTACTTTAATTTGTTGTGATTATCAACTCTATTTCATGAGAAATCATAAGGGAGCATATTGGACTATATGTAAACAATGTGATAACTTTTTTAACTTTAATTAATATTGGGTCAAAACAGTGAGGAAATCCATGACAAATATTATTTTGTTTTTATGTTTTACAGGGAATTAGATAATTGTAAAAACAAAGTATTTGATATGTTTTTTGGAAAACTCAACGACAACACAGAATGAAATCCTGTACTTGGGGCTGATTTGAATGTCATGCTTAACTTTTGAATTATTTGAAATTAGATTTTTTATTTCCATATGAAGTTTTTGGCCTGTTTTTCTCAGCTTTAACCATGACATAATGAAAAGTACCATTGTACACATATTACTAAAAATGAATTCTTAAATCCGCATAATAATAGCATACATATCGAGTCATTATTTGTATGCAGTATATCAATAATGTATTGTTTTGTCATGTAGAATTTGCTTGTTTACTGATGAATAGTTTAAATTATTGTTTCCAAAATCCAATTGTTTTTTGTAGTACTTTCACTTTCACTTTAACTGTTTAGAAAGTTAAATAAGTTAATGTAGTATTTATTTATGTCAGTTGTTTGTTTGAAACATTTGAGTTAAATGTTTGTTATTTAGTGATATGTTATGTTTTTAGAGTACTATTTAATGTTTAATGCTTAGTTATGTACTCCTTGTGATAGTAATGTATAATGTAACAAATATGATACCATGTATAGCTCATAAATGCAAAAATATTTTGTATTTATGAGTAAACTAGTTTCAAACTAGGTATAAGTCTTTAGATACAAAGCTTAATATGATAGTAAAGTCAAACAAATTCTCAAGGCTATAGAAAAAAGGATATCACCAAGCTGTTATCTCTGGCGTACTTACTCCTTTGAATCTGGTAATTTTGATTTAGAGCACATGCTCTTGACTATTGAATTACTCCTCACTATAATTCACTTGTTTTGGCTTCTTCGGATATATTAAAACTTTGCTGGACCATTCTCAAATTCAGTGTTGGTAAAGTGTGATACTAACATATCAGTCATCACTTGTAAATGCCAAATAATGCATTTTTAATACATAAAGCACATTTTAATTGCCAACATTTTCATTATCTCTTTGTATAATTCCTATCAGTGGAATACATCATAGCTATTCACGGTGCTTTGTGTAATTTCAATTGGATCTTGATAACTTTTGAGAGAGAGATGGGAAATGTTTCTCATGAACTTTTTAAGTTAAAATGAATGTAATTTACAGTGAGAAATGATGTATGGTGGTATATAAATATGTAATAAATGTTCCATATGTTAAAAAACTATGCCTTCCGTTGATAGATGTCACTTGGTGTGCATGATGTAATAAAGTAAATCCTGCGTATATTGAACATTTTTTGCAGAGAAAAATTGTACAGTGTTGGTATGTGTTCACTAGAGGGAGGGTAATTTATACATAAGTAAGTGGAGTATGTTTGGTGTCTAGAAGAGACTGGCGTTCACTTGAGAGAGATGTTCACTAAGACAGATTTTACTGTACATTCTTGCCTAAAATATACTAAAGTAGTAAAACTGAAACATTTTTTCAATTTGCTCATGAATTGGTTTTGGAAAACTTAATAATAGGCTGATTCACACAAATCTCAATATGAAACCAAAAAAGTGTTTTTTGTTCGAAAAAATCGTTGATTTATTTAAAACTAACATTCAGAGGTCACACGTATCATTTAATAATAGGCTGATTCACACCAATGCATTGCATTCATCCTCACGTGTTTTTGCCGAGAAATTAACTCATGGATGCATGGAAATGATTCAGAGAAAATGCATTTCAAAATTTTAGTTCTAATAGAAACCAATGAACCCATACTATTTAAAACATAATACATTTTTCCTTTTAATCTTGTTAGACAACTAAAATTGGTTTATTTTTGAAGTTTATCATATTTAAAAAAGATTGACATTGATTTTTTTTTCAATATTTTGCCATCTGTGGGATGTCATGATGATGTCACCTAGGTTGCAAAAACACTGAAGTGGCACATTAGATATGAGATTTTGTTGTTGAAATAATGTCCTTTGTTCAATCTTTACATTTGGTGTTAAAAAGATAATGTTTTTGCACAGGGATGATCAAGAAATTTTATTTTACTTGAGAAATGGCGGGATAAATATTCTTAAAGTCATGAAAAATAGTAAATGACTGATAAAACATATTTTCAAACTTCACATGGGGACCTAAGTGGACGTGGGTGTGATAAGTACAAATACAACCATCTGGCTAGTAACTAAATAAAAGAAATAACTGAGTTTGTAATAATTTACATTTTATTATATGAACAATATATACATCGATATACAGACCAGACATTTCAAACCAACAAATTGTCATGATGAATTAAGAACAAAGTAAATATTTACATTGCCGCATAGTTTGGAGTATTTACACTAAGACGTTATAAATTGACAGTCTGAAAATCTGAATTAATCCCATTTATCATTTCGCACTAAATGTCTTTTGAACCGATCATTTTGAATACTTCAAGCATGACTGATTCAATCTCAAGTGACTCTATGCTGTTGTATATTTTGGAGACACTGGCGTCCAAGGATCTCTCGCCTCTGTTGAATGGGATTTGGAGGGTGTTTCTTACGTACCCGTACAACCTGGAGGTACCTGAAAGCAAAAACACAGATGTTACATGTATAATGAAAAAGCATAAATGGCAACATTAGAAAACACAAATCAATCCAGTCCTGAAGTATTTAATTACACAAATATTGTTTTTGTCATTTCGCAGTACTCTGTCTAATTGTCATCGACAGACTCGGGTTTCTGTTACCAACATTTATTACATATCTCCATTACTCATATCAACGAATTAGTTTATTACAACTATTGCCTTTCATTTTATCATTTACACTACGCGTATTTGGATATGATATTCATTTCTCAACTTACCATCTCCCATGTCAGCCTGGATCTTAGCTGGTGATGAGACAACGACAGCGATAATATTCTTCAGATCAGTTCTCAAAGAGTTGATAAACGCCTCTCTCTCGTCCTCGGGTAGAGCCTCTGCTACTAATGACGTCGTGCTATCGACCTGATAGACAAACTTCCACCATTTGTTCTTTGCGACAAGTCGGGCGATACCTGAGTTCTTCTCGACGCGCGCTGCGAGGATTTCTTGTACTCTAAATGAGAGCCATCTCAGATCAACCGCCTGGGCAAGAAGGAGGATGTGGGAGGCGAGCATCATACGAATGATCTCAAGGGCTTTGATAGTGAGCCTAGCGGAGAAGAGCCCCATGGAATTTGTGGACTGGTTGTGTGATTCTGAACCTTGGATGTGGTTGCTGGTTGGGTTGGTAACGTGATCCAGCTCGGTCATGTATGAAGCCATGGCGATGTCAAGTCCGATGAAACCCTGGTCGTTTGCGGGGTCACTTCCGGCGAGGTTATGTGGGAGTCCGTAGTTTAGTTTATCGTTGACGACTTCTTGGAACTGTGCGAATATGAGTTTGCCGCAGATTTGTAGTGCTTGTCTGGTTTGGTCCATGGTCATGGCCATCATCATTCCTTGGGCGTTTCCCCCTGTCAGAAGATCAGTGCAGTGGTCAGTGACAGGTTTCTCTGTTGAGGCATTCAGCTGAACTTCGACCCGCTGTGTGGCGAGTGATAATGTCTCTAATACAGGACTCAACCACTGTGGGGAACTTCTCAGTGAATACCTATCTTGCTTCAGTTTACCTGGTTCGTCTGGGATGTACATATCAAGGATACTGATAGCAATTTTTGTGTTCTTCATAATGCCTAACATGTTACGACCGGTTTCTTTCTGACCTAGATGTGGAAGACAGTCGTGGAGAAGATGGTGGAATGATTCTGTGCGCCCAAAGAGAGCCTCGACCGCCATCCCTGTGGCAACCTGGGTCAACATTGCCATGATGTTAGCGTTGTAAACCGCACAAGCAGCGATACCAGTACAGAAAGCATCAGAGTTGATCAAGCTGACGGTTTCATTCGGGGTCAAAGTAACTGGCTTCAAACCGGCGTCTTTGAGGGCTTCATCTGCAGATTTACGTTCACCATTATCATTAACGTAAACATCAGCGTTGCCAGCCAAGCACGAGGCCACGTATGTCATCTGGACTAGATCACCAGTGGCTGAGGTAGACCCTCTTTCGGGGACATTGGGGATGATGTTTCTGTTGAGAAGTTCGACAAGGAGTTTGATAGCTTCTCCTTTGATTCCTGCTTCACTTGCGCAATTGTGATTGGCTCTCACCAACATGGCTGATCTGACCATCTCCGTTGGGAGGTTGCGACCCATACCTTTAAGTACAAGACAATGTAACTATTAAACTATAAATCTAGCTATCAAAACCATTGATAATCTGGTATCATGTATTTTTAGTAAATAATGTTGAGGTTTCAGTTTTAGCAAAAAGACTTTTGATTATGAGGGGAACGTACGCCTTGAGCATTGTGTGTGTCCATTTGATTGATAATTATATTGAAGTATCTATTAATATTTTCAAATATAAAGCTCAACAAAAGACATGAACGTTGTAAATCATTCACAGAATGACTCTCGATGGTGAATGTTTAAATTCTGTACACACCACATATTTATTATCTTGTGCGCCTATTATACTTGTATCTTGGAGAAAATGAATAACCCATTGCATCTTGGAGAAAATGAGTAACCCATGGTACCCTGATGCCCCCAACACCAATGCTCTCTGTGCACTCGTCTCACGTGACCATAGAACAATTAAGTAGTAAGAGTGCACCGTGTCATAATTACCAAAGTCCATAGCACAATATTATCAATAAATCAATTACATTATCCAACTCATAATCAGTCATTACATAGATTGACCTTTTTAATCTTGCCACCTTTTTGGCCTCCTTGACCGTTACACTTGTGTCAACCTTACGTAATACTCGTACCCAGGTACCCAGATAGCCCAAATCTTCACACCTGATCATGGGAAGACAGTGCATTACTGATAATGATTTGTTGAGAGACAGTGAAGTGGTCGGTAGTGGTAAATTTCATCCTTCATTCAAAGGACTTCATTTATTACTCAGTTCAATGGGATTGATACAATTGATAGGATTCCCGTTTGAACAAGGATGGTAAATGTAGAATTATATTAGTGGTATTAAATGAAATTGCATTTAGTCAAGGAAGGAATATGTCACACGTTATTGTTAGCTTGTAACTTCCAAGATAAAATCTTGGTATGTTGCTTTTATTTTAACTTTGGATGCAATTATGTGAATCTTTTGTCTGGCGGCTTCAATGCCACCATGCGCGATCCCATCACATGAACAAAAGTTCGCCATAATACCAAAAGTGATACAATTAAGCAAAAAGGTTGCCAACATGCAAATAGCACTCCGCCATTGATGTCATCAATTAAAGTTCCAATGATATTCTAGTCTTTAGTTTATCAAAATACAACCCAAACGACTTAAGAATGATTTCCTTCTCATATCTACATTTTTAGGTTAATAGTTTTACTAGTGTTTCCACAAGTAAAATTTCCCGATGGTGATAAACTATTTCAAATGCATTTATTGATATTTTACGAATATAGTTTTCGCAATGAAAAGTGCTTAGCCCCGGGTGCCATGCAAACATTAAACCAGAAACAGATAGGCCACTTACCAACTTGGAAAAAACGCCTTTGATCTGTGACATCCTCTTTGCTGGCGCCATTCTGCATCCCTTTTTCCTTGTTGTCATCTTTCACTTGAACTTGGACGTTCTTGTTGCGGCTTACTTCAAATACTTCTGGGAGCGTAAGTTTGTCGCCATCAATGGTCACTTGTTTAGTGATCGCACTATGGTTGTCCAACAATCTCACGCAATTCAAGCGATGGTCTGTGGTATTTCTAAAACTCATGATTCTGTATGTGACTTTGTTGATTTTGTGTATGAGTTGGTCGACTTCACAATTGCAAATGATCTAGTTCCCAGATTTTATCCCATTTGGTGGTATCAGTATCGTGATGGTCGTGACAAGTGTGGGAGGGCCTTGTGAAATGATTGACAGGTAAACAGGATCCAGGGTTATTGTGTGGCTGCTAAGGTTATGTAAGTCAAAGTTACCTAAGTGGAGCAGATAATGATTGGCGGGTGTCAATGAGTATAAACTCCAATAAAGTTATACAATTATACGAATAAATATATACAATTATTTTTTATTTCAGTTTAAGCAGAATTGCATTCTTTTTTAATTCAATTTAAGCAGAGCAGTTCATTGCACTTCTTTTTTATTTCAGTCTAAGCAGAAAATTTCAATGCACTTCTTTTTTATTTCAGTTTAAGCAGAAAATTTCAATGCACTTCTATTCAGCTCGATATTGGATATGGGATGGAGGTGGGATTCGTTCATGGATAAGGGATGAAGTCCTTACATTTAAGAGTTGTATTTTCAAAATGAATCACCGCGTCTATTACCCGGTCTATTATCACTTATTACTTAAATTATTGGTGCAAGTTGACACGAAGATAGCAAGGGATACAATAAGAGATAGAAGGGCAATAAAGATCCTTGGTGACAATCACCAAAATGATAATTTTAAGCCCCAGAACTTATCAAGACTTTTAGATTATGATTCTAAATATAGCAAGCGATTGTGTAAGCTTATCTCGTGAGAAAATATAATCGGCGAATCGATTAATGAATTGCACCTACTTCAATAAATAATGCATGTCATTCATTTAAATTTCTGTCATTTATAATATTAATGATTGAGCTTTTATTTGATGACTCCGAATTTAATAAAACTTAAAATAACAAAAAATTATTGCAGGCACATTCTAGGAATAGTACTACACGGGTGTATAATTGTCCTATGTCGTAGTAAGATGTATAGCGTTTCACACTGAGTTTCAAATGTTTCCCAAATTACAAATCTACAAGTCATTTTTGGAGGCAAGGGCAAAAAGATCCCACGCGCGACGAGAAAACGCATGTGACAGGACACATGCCTAAATAGTTTAAGTAACTGTTTACAAGTAGAAGCAAGACACACGTGGCTAGAAAAACACGTGTATTACTTGTTTCATTACTGTTCGTAATTCAGATAGGGTTTGAGATTTACATGCTGGATAATGGGTGTGGTGTACAGGGTGTCAGAAATATTTTGTTTTAATTAAAACAAATTTTTCTAAATCTTCTATAACAATTCGGAAATGAGAATGTTGCATTTTCTGCTAGGCATTAGACAGACAATGAATATCATTTTAGTTCAAAGTACTATACACCATCAGCAGCCTTAGCATGACACGTAAGCTTACGTGAATGTAGTTTCGGCCAAATGCTAAGGTGAATCACGGCAATAGAGTTTTTAAACATGTCAACTTTTCAAAATGGCATATTAAAAGTGCGGAAGCGCCTTTTATATTCTTCTTCGCCATTACTCGCTGTGTACATATGTCCTAATTATTAGAAAATACATGCCAGTTCTTCACTTTGTAAAAATGCGACATTTGTTTATTTGAGTCTGTAAAATGGTTTTAATAAATTCCATTTTTGGAAAGAACGTAGGTTATTGCAAACAATTTTAAACAATTCTAACTTGAAGTATGAATATTTTCTGATCATGAACATGGGTGTATCCTTTAGATCCATTCATTATCTTCAAGAAAACTATATATAATGATAATTTAGTTAATAAGACCTAAGTGATATTGAAGGGGCAATGGACCAATCAACATACTTTTTCAAAAATGTTGACCTAATTTTCACCAAAAATGCAACCTTTTATTATATTGTTGAATGCATAATTAGAAAGAATTAGATTATAGAATTTGCTTTGAGACATGTTCGATTTCCCTAAAGGAAAAGTTGATTGCTCTAGGGACTTTAAATATACTGAATTTGGATGACCAAAATGAACTGAAACCAATGGATATCATGATATTTTACAATGGAGAAATAACATGGGGAACATTTATTTTAAAGCAATTAATTTTTTTTTCAAGAACTATTTGATACATCAACATAAAGAATAGTAATGCAAATACATTGTAAAAAATGATTGCATTTTGGTAAAAATGGGGTCAACATCTTTGAAAAGTGTGTTGATGGGTTGATTGCTAGTTAAATATCTCGAGTTTGTTTGACTTTATTATTACTGTATATCAATAATGAATTGATCTAAAAGATAAACCTGTCTTCATTGTCAGAAAATAGTCATAATCCAAGATATAACCTTCTGAAATTGTTTGCGATAACCTACGTGCTCCTTTGTAAAAACTTAAAAACGTAAATCTTAACGTAATACAGCGTCAGTACCATTATACAGGGACACCCTGTATAAGATACGTTTAATGTCCATGTGATCACGTAACTTCGAAGTCATTATACATTATATTAGACAATAGTCTACGACATGAGTGTGAAGAAGATACCCTGGGGCAAGGGTCACGTAGACAGTTCATATAAGCTTCTGTCATATAATTCATCTTACGTATGCTGCGTATATGTAGTGACATGTAATAGTTAATGGACGAACTTTACTCTTTACTTTATTTAATTATTGGACAATGAGATAAGGGTAGTTAGATTATCACATCTTGTGAAACCATAATTTTGTCAGTGTCCAATTATATTAAAATCCAAGATACTTGAACTTTACTTGATTTGGTGAATTATATTACCCTTAAATTTTGTAAAATTCCCCGCGAATTCAGCAATTTTTGGACACATTTAGTATTTTAATGAGTTTCAACAAAAACCAAATCTAGATTGTTAAGGCCAAACCGAGGGCGTAGGAGCGCTTTACGTGTTTTCAAAATAAAACATTTTATCACAGAGATCTATTTACATAATATATGATTTGTATTGTTTTTAGTGTATTTTACTAAAAACACTAAAAAATACAAATCTTATGTAGATAGTTCTCTGTGCCTTTTATCAAACATGTAAATGAAATCAAAATAAAAACAAAACACCGACTTGGGCAAAAAAGGGCAATACTAGTATGTCAAAATTGAAATTTGCAACCCAAAACCTACGAATTCGAATCCAAAAATGCACAACCTTTAATAAAAATCAACTTTGATTCAGCGGGTCATTTATTTCAACAGAAACAATACCCACTGCCAATGGGCCACTGGTTAATGTTAAAGTTACATAAGTTATATATTCTGTAGAAATCAATCAGAGATTATAGGCGAAGTCATTGACTGGAGATATCTGAGTGCATTTGTTCGTACGATGTAATCCTGATAAGCAATAGGACAATGTATAATGGTTTAATGCCATAACATAAACCCGGACACTATATTGATATCATTTGCCGTAAGATAGGCTTCTTTGCCTTCTTGCTAACAATCACCTTCCAATTATACATGTGTACGTCACGCCTCATAGGTCTTCGTTTAATGGGCTCTTGATCATGGTCAAAAATAGATATTGGACATATTTACCAATAACATCGTCTTTAAAAAATGATGGTTAAACTCAGAGTATTCAAAAGGAATGATTAATATTGCAAGGGTTCTGTTCCGTAAGATGTGCACTATCTGTAGTATCTTAGTTGTACTCGCACCATTTATCTTGTCGAACTATATTTAGAAGATCATGTGACAAAAATGGTTTATTTTTGGGAACTAACAAGATACAGTTCTATTCTGAGACAATTTATTTAATAAAACCGGATGGTACGACAAATCGAGATGACCCAAAACAATAATATTTTGATCATGCGGATGTAAAAACCACACCTCTGCGATATCGCGTGCAAGATAAAAATTCAATTGTCGTTGATATTTGTGTTTTGAAGTTATCTGTACCGATAGGCTTAATGTTGGAAGCCAGTTTTGTATTTCGTACTTATTCTGTAGCTCCTCCCATTTTCAATTGATGATGTAAGCACATGGTCAATGGGCGGAGCTTATCTATGCACATTCGTCAGGAAGAGTGATAACGGCTCACGATTCACCAATGGGTTCAGTTATATCTAGAGTGCTTCTGGAGACTTGACTGTCATAGCTCTGCCTCACTCCAAGCAAAGAAATCATAGAAGATACATCTTAATTTCTAACCACAAATTCAAAATGGGCTCAGCATGTACAGAAACACCTCATCTTGACAAAAGCATTGATTTCATCAAATCAAGAATTGGTCAACCAGATGAGATCGTTATTCATGGAAATGGACTCACTATTCCCGAAGTTGTATCTGTCAGTGAGGACACGACCAAGAGAGTGAGAATTGATGATTCGGCTCACGAGGAAATGAAGAAAAATGCCGAATATCTCACTGAAAAGATCGGAGAAGGCCTCGTCGTATACGGCATTAACACAGGCTTTGGAGGGAGCGCCGATGTCCGTTCCTGGGAAATCGAAGAGGTACAGCGATCTTTGATTCGTCACAGCAAGGTTGGAATGGCTACGTATTTTGATAATGAGGTCACAAGAGCTGGTATGCTTGTCCGCGCCAACAGCGACTCCAGAGCGTACTCAGGTATCAGAAACACAGTCCTCCAGCGCATGGTTGATCTCATCAACCATGATATCGTTCCCCGTGTACCCGAGCGTGGCTCTGTGTCTGCCAGTGGGGATCTGAATCCCCTCTCTTACATCGGGGCGGCCATGTGTGGTCAAGATGATTCATGGGTAGTGGCTCAAGGTAAGCTCATGAAATCTCACGAAGCACTCACAAACGCTGCCCTCGAGCCAGTCACGCTTAGGTTCAAGGAAGGTCTTGCCATCATCAACTCTGATTCTTTCAGTGCTGGCAACGCCGCAAGATGTGTCTACACAGCCAATGTTAACGCCCTCTTGACACAGGTATGCGTCGCCATGGCAGTAGAAGCCCTTCAGGGGCGCACAGAGACATTTGATGAAAAGATCCAAAAGAGGGTGCCACATGTAGGACAAAAAGAAGCCGCTAGCAATATTAGGAGACTCATTAAGGGCAGCCGATTTGCAAGAACCTCTGAGAGCAACAATGTTGAAAGACAAGACAGATTCGCCCTGAGAAGCTCTCCACAATGGCTGTCACCTATCTTAGAAACCCTACAAGATTCAATGAGGCGAATGAAAATAGAAATGAACTCTTCAAATGATAACCCAATCATTGATCACCGTACTGATACTGTCCTTCACGGTGCAAACTTCCAAGGTATGACCATGTCAGTAGCAATGGACCAAACAAGGCAATCCATGCAGCTCTGTGGTAAACTCATCTTCGGCCTCATCCAAGAATGCATCAACGGTAAGCTCAACTACGACCTGCCGGCAAATGTTGCAGGCATGGACTGTAATGTTGACTTTGGCTTCAAGGGGGTTGACATCGCCTCCGCTGCTTACATGTCCGAGATGGACCATACTGCTAATTACACAAGTACACACGTGTTGTGCGCTGAAACACACAACCAGAGCATCAACTCATTAGCTCTTGTATCTTCAAGACTCACAGACAAAGCCTGCCATATACTCCGACTACAGATCACCAACCACCTCTTTGTTGTGTGCCAGACCATTGAGCTCAGATGGCTTCAGGTATGTTTCGTTTCGTATAGATAAATTAGTTCTCAATTCTGTTCTACTTTTAATACGATCCAATCAGGTTCAGATTAAATGTTCTTGTCCAATCGGTAGAAATAAACAAATGAAGTCAACAGTACTCGTATGCATGTATATTTATTAATTTAACGTTAGATGGCTAACATGTGTTTATAAAAATAAAGTCAGTTCGAACACAAGTTGACGAGGAAAGCAAAGCACTTATTTATATATTTCCACTCGTTATTGCAGATCCGCATGAAGACCGTGCTGAACAACATCATCAACCAATTTCCGGAAACCGAGGATGCCCTGGAGGATATTCCATGGTGGGACTGTATCTACCATGCCAAGAGCACTGCAGAGGAGGTTGCGGCAGTATTACCCGACAGCCAGAAGGAGAAATTCTCCAAGCAGTTGTTGGAGAAAACCTCTGAACTATATGAAAAAGTGTCGAATGATTATCAAACAATTGCTGAAGACCTTGGGCAAGGTAAGATTAATTCTGTTTATTTCGAATCTTTTTATTCTTCCAATGTGTATGAGGACCCTTAAAGATGGCAGATTAGGCCTACATGCGTACTTTTAGGATTTCTAAAATCTAAATATCTATATGCATATTTTATGCCATCTATTGGCAGTTAAGACCATTACTGAACTCCCACGAGTCACGTGTCGAAATGAATAAATCCTAACATCAACAATTCTATTGGATCACAGTGTTCATTTTGTTAAGGTTTTACTGTAATTTATTCAGTTTTGGGAGAAGACAAAAGACAGCCTCTGTTATTGCAATCTCGAAACCATATTGTTCCCAAGCATCTTTCTTTTTTTATTTGATTCTCGGGTTTTCTTTATTTGTTTATTAGTGGTTCCAACTTAGGGACGAGAACTACGCATTATATGTAGCAACCGTTTGAAGTCATAAAGAGAAGTCATTTAGATGCAGTTACACCCAGTAATATATTTTTATATTTTTTAGGAACTAAGAAGATGTACCTCTTTATCCGTGATGAACTAAAAGTTCCATTCAACCGCGGACAGAGGGCGCTAGACGCGGATCTCGAAACCATATTCGCAAGCATCAAATCTCGCAGGATCGAAGAGGTCCTGGTTTCGATATTTCAGGATTAAATAGACAATTGAGTTGCGAAATGTATTTATTGTTTCACCCAAACTTTGAGCAGTGTCCAATAGATCGTAAGACCTTATTTGGCCTTGTTTATTGCCTCAGTATGGTAAGGTTAGAGGCCATTATCTTTGGAATATTATCCGTTCAGAATGGCATCAACGTTGTTGATGTTAATGTAAATAGTAAAAGTTGGAAAATCTTATTCATTGTTTCATTTGTTTTAACTTGCTGAATATATTTGTACATAACAGTTTATGAATAAAAAATAAAAAAAAATAATATGATATCAACATATTTTGTATATTTGTTTAATGTGCATTTCAAATTTGAGCTGTTTAACAAATTGTTTTTTCCACCTTATCGGGATATTCTGTGATGTCAGATCTTGTAAATCTTCGTTAGATAGTGCTCAACTTCGCAATAAAAATACAAACTATTTGCCTTATCTAGTGGAAAATAAGAAAGTATTTATCGTGAATCTTCTTATTTATCGTGAACCGAAGTTCAATACTGGGGCATACGTATTTCAAATTTTGACATTGAGTTTCTTACCATGTAAATATATGATTTAAATATCGGGAAATTTTAGAAGGCGAGCATACCCATGTAAGAAATTAGAACTTCAAAAATTTGAAATATGCCCAAGTACTGAATTTCGGTTCGCATGCATAGTGTTCAATTTACCTAGTTTGCACAAAGCTATCTCTTGGGAGATAGCTTTGCATATCTTGACATACCAAGTCCATGTTAAAGGTCTTTACAGAAATGTAAGAAATCGTTGGAACACTTACACTACTTCAATCGATGTACTGTATAACATCATAAAATATCGGATTAATATTCGTAGAACGCTAGCTGGAGTCGTACAGTAAATGAATTGATGAAAACGTGTTAAGAACTGGTTATTTTCAAAATAATATTTTCTCTTTTAATTCTCTTTTTCCAAGTATTCGCCCAGCAATAAGATTTATAGCATAATACAGACGATATATACTTGAAAAAAGAGAATTAAAGAGAAAAATATTATTTTTGACTTCTTACCGGAAGTTCGAAACCTCACACATGCGTATTAGCGACTTCCTGTAAGAAGCCATTTTGAAAATAACCAGTTCTTAACACGTTTTCATCAATTCATTTACTGTACGAGTCCAGCTAGCGTTCTACGAATATTAATCCGATATTTTATGATGTTATACATCGATTGAAGTAGTGCAAGTGTTCCAACGATTTCTTACATTTCTGTAAAAGACCTTTAACATCGATGGGCTAGGAATATCGAGTTTTGCAAAGCCATCTACTAAAAGATGGCTATGTGCAAATTTAGTAATGTTCAATATTTCTCACAACGTGAGACACAAAAATGGCACCCACACATTTTGGAATAACTTTATCAATAATGAAGGAATCTTCATGTGATAATGGATAAGAAATTGATATGCCTGCAAAGCATCAGTAACTTGGAAATTAAGAGTCTCATTTTTCGAACGAGGAAGCATGCTCTTACACAAAATCACTCAAAAATGTAAATTAGAAAATCGGTCGTTTTTTAAATTCACCCAATAATCGAGTCGGTTCACCAAATTTGACAAAATTGTAAATGAAAAATGGATAGATATGACATATTATTGATACTATATGTGAACTCACTCCAGAAACTCAAGTAATGGCGTAAAGTAATTATTCAAAAAATTAAAACAAACCCCCCTCAAATAGATAAAAATCAAGAAAACCCTTTTATTTCATTACCAAGATACTTTTTTAAAATCAACCAAAATTTCCTTTGTATAACTATAATGTTGAGAGGTCTAAGAAAATGTTGTATATGCTATTTTGTTCCAACAAGGTTCGGAAAGACATTTTATTTCATTCTCAAGATTTGGTAGAAAGGAGCAAAACAATGCACTAAAAAACAAAAAATGATACCCCTCATTCGGTATTTTCTAAGTATGTTACATGACATGTTCCTAGTTTTAGTTCTCAAGAAGAACGCTGGTGGTGCTGTGATCGTTTTATTGAAAATGTCACTGATGTTCGAAAGGTGATACATGCAACCCATTTTATTAATATTAATTACACGAATCTACCTACCAAAAAGTACTTTTTCTATGCTCAGGAGTTGTTTCATTACCGGGAGGATCTATAGTTTTGTAATTAAAGTAGTTCTTCTTTGACTATTGCGCAGTCAGTTCGCGCATCGTAAATCCTACTATCGTTTAAGTTGAAGCTAGAAGTGTCTGCAATAGGCCTATCGTCTAAATAGTCTATATCATCTTGTGAATTTCCGTCTTCAAGCGTTTGATCCTTAATTCGACCGACGGGTGCTTGGTGAACAAAGATGAAGAATTTGGTAGATTGGTCCATTATTCGGACCTAGAATAAAAATACTAATTCTAGATCGGACCTACATTGCTTTCATCGTTCTTGTTTTAAACGAATTACAAAACTAAATGATAAGTGCCCATGGTTGAAAAAAAATTTATTTTAGTTTTAATAACTATAACAAAATAAGTTAAATCAAGAAGCAAAAGTCTTTTCTGGGTCACCGTGAATGGCATGATTTCCTCGAGTCTCTTCAGTTGCTAGGCAACCATACTGGGACCGATTCGTGTCGTTCCACTACTGCCCTTGGTGGGGGCTCACTACCATACTGTATGACTCCCGGCGTCTACTATAGCCCGTCAGTGGAGGAACCAACCACAGTCTCACAATCTGTCTCCGACAAGAGCAGTCAGAGAACCGGCCCAAGCCAAGGGTCGGAGGTTGGACCTTCGGACCGAGTGTCCTGTAGAACTATTATCAAGAACGCCGTACCCGAGGCTCGAACGCGGGACCTTGTATCCCTCGGTACGCACGACCACAGTCTCTAACCACCCAGGCTACACTGCTCAGGTGTCAACATTGCTCAAAAATGTAATAATTATACCGGGTGTCCTATATAACAATAATCAAAAATACGCCGTACCTGGGGCTCGAACGCGAGACCTCCGTATCCCACTACGCTCGACCACGACCAGCTTCTAGTCTCTACGCCTTGAGGCTACATTGGTTTGGTGTCAGTACTGCTAAAACATAATGTAGTTGTTACAATTATTTGCCTGAGTTAACATAATGTAAAAGTATTTTAATTAATTAACCCTATTTAAAAGTTGGAGTCGAAGTTTACATTTTAGATCGAGGAAACGCAATGAACTCAAACATGACCTCTTGCAAATGATAACACTTATCACAAAGCAAGGGCTAAGGCTGTACAGAAAGTACATGTCCCTGGGATACATGTTTGGCATAATATTTAAGATCCACCGGGGAAGAAAAACATCGCAATATATAGAGAAAAACATTTTGAACGTTGTTGTATATATGCTAATATGAAATTTCAATTTCAATCTCAAAGAAATGAAAAAGGACAATTGGCTACTGAATAGTAAGCGTATGGGTGAAACCAACTAATTAGAATATGTCCAGATCGGTCAATATAATGGAAAGAAAAAATAAGGTATTTTTGTAATTTCGGCGCATTGAATTAATTAATCGGATTACGTTCAGTACTAATTAGTATTACGCGTGGCTAACACAATCGCTGCGATTTATTCAAGTTCAAGAAGGACAAAATGAAAAATACCTTCTTCTTCGAATCTGAATGAAACGTAACATTCAATCATGACATTAATATTCAGTTAAGACGTAACTGCATAAAAAATTTAACCGTTAACTGAACTGAACTGTGGCATAAACCATTCAATTAAAGAAAGGAAGTAGTGCGCTCTCCATTATGATCTCCCCGTGAAAAAAATTGTTCATCTGATTTTTCAAAATGAGTATCCTGCTTTTATTTTTACATTTATATGCACACTATCTTGTTGACCTATATTGAACACTGTATTGATGAATGGGCCACTTATTAGGGTCATAATTCAATCATGAAGTATAGAGGCATAGATTCCAAACCAGGAAGTATTTTTGTGTCTCTCAAAATCTATTTGCATCCTACACATCACTTAATCTTATCCAAATATGTTATTAATTAATGAAATATAACAGTATAATCTTTGGATTTACAAAGTTGTATGGCATTTCATAAGTGTAAAAGTTGCTCTTGAAGCATTTTTCTATGTGCATTTTGTCGGAAAAAAACTATGAAAAAATCTGTAATCATTCAATTTGAAGTATGACCTGAATCGATTGCAAACTTCATAATTGCACATCTGATGTGATATACCATTTGTGTCATATTGTGAAATTATTTAATTTGCAATCGATTCAGGTCATATAGTGTATTTTAGGTATTTTTGTGACAATCAAGAGAAACCAATGGCCCCCATTGGAATCTGATTATATCTACATGTTAAGTCAATGGAACACTTCCAATGTTAAGTCAATACACTCTTGCTGAACTTAGTGACCTCAACCTCTGCCAAAATGGTTCCAAATGCTTAGATATTTTCCACAGTATTATGTGACATTGTATTCTTTATGTTACACCTAAAATGATTAATTTCGTTCATGGAGAAATCATAATGGAAAGTGCACTAGATCCTTTTCAAAGTTCGTCTGCAAAAATAAAATCTTGCACAGACTCTCAATAATATTATATCATTTCAATAGTGTCCCTATTCGCACACACTCCCCTCTATAAGTTTGGCAACCGAACGTTTTTATTGAATATAAAATTAAAGCCTGGCAATATTCATCCTCCTAAGCAGGTGTCCAGAATCCGTACCTCCTTCAAGTAAAAAGAAAGAAGATATTCTGGATTTTGAAGCCCTGTGATCGGAGGATGGGCAATATTTGAATCACAATGTTGTGACCCTGGTTTTGATTTAATTAGCCTTGCCTAAGTCGGTGTATTTTTTTTTTATTGATTTTGATTTAAAGGCAGAATCTTATCTATGGGTGACAAAATTACAAGCAACATGTATAATTAACCTACCAATCTATTCCTTACAATCTCAAATACAATATCTCCCAAAAGATTCACAATATGTCATAAATTGGTGAAGTTATTCATGATTCAATGTGCAAAAATGGGTGAAAAATGTTTAAATTCTCCCAGTGATTTTTAGTAAATAGACGTGATAAGGAATGACATGAGCCAAAGATTGAAACAATTTTTTGTTTAGCCTGCTCGCTATGTAGATGATTCTCTCTTTAAAGTAGTACTTCACAGTGTTTTTGTTTTTTCTCTACAAATCAGATTTCCTTGAAAAAATATTGGTAAAAGATATACCGATGATTAACAAAATATATGAAAATTAGAAAGATTGACCGTTTTGTTATTTCTAAAAATGTTTTAATTAAACATTATCCTCAATATGAAATTCTTTTTATCTTTTAAAAATCCCACAATTCAATTTCTCTTTAAAAAGATTGGATCACTCTCTGAGACAACAGATGTATAGATAAAAATATTTCAGAAAATTCACCCTCCGGATCTTGAGAAAAAAATAATTGATTTAATTAAAATGATAAATTATGTTCTTCTCCACTGTATATAATGACTAAATCTACCGTATAAAAGTCTAAAATTAATAAATATGTGTCACTTAAAAAGTTTCAAAAATATAAATACAAAAATGATCATCACGTTTCTTTCTTGGAAACCCGGTGTAAAAGGTTTGGAGGTCCTATCAGTTTATGGTCCTACTCTCCATTGGTCCTGTTTGCCATGGACCTTTTTTCCATTTTTACGCTCACACCGGATCTCAATTCAATAGCCGCCAGATCATTTTATCATTCGAATATTATCGTTCCTCAGTAGAAGTAGTACAGTACGTATACATGTATATTGTATATGCTAGGAATATCTGCTAACATGAGATTTCATCATCCGATGACTCATGTTCATATCATCTGATGACATTTTGATTAATTCAACCGATCATGAAGTATATTTTGAACATTGTGTATGTTATGATCATGTGATGGCGTATTTTTTCTTTATACCGGTCAATTTCAGGAAAGAAAAATGAGATTTGAATTTCTTTCTTTATTTCATTGAGAATACATAAATCAAACATCTGTATTACAAAAAATCACAAACATTATCAGTTGTTTGTGCAATATGCAGGCCACTAGCAAATGGATCTGACTTCTCCAGGTCCGTGGGTGTAGTATCATCGCTATAAAAGCTGTCACTTAATTTTGTCATACTCATTTCTTTTTACAAATAATAGCATCATACCATAAAGCATTTTCAACCACTTTCGATTTAATGTCAGTAAAACCATGCTTCTCCAACTTTTCTTTGTATTCAGAGAGCGATCTTTCCCGCCCTTCTGCACACAGCAACATGTCCATATCGAGGAGTAAAGACTCCATTGGGCCACTTTTGTCTTCGTCCAAGAATTTCTCCAACACCAGAAGCGCACCACCTGAAGAACACAAGGGGATAGATACATGTTACATTGGCTTAGCCTTTATTTAATATATATCTAATGTATATGTTCTTTTATTTTTACATTCTTTTGGATGGATCGATGGGGATTTTGAATGAAGAACTTAGCCTGTTTGCGGGAATCGTTCCGTGACGCTTGAATGTTGGTTTAATTGGTCGTTTTTGTGATATTTATTGTAAATGAACAAAAGCACTGAGATACTTCTAATTTTGCTTGTCCTTATCTGTATCATTTTCTATGTTCATATTATTATTATGATCTGTAAAGTGTATTGCCGCACAGGATTATTATGCCCCCATTTAAAACGTAAGTACCAAATAGATAGAATGCAAACCTGATTTCATTGTTGCCATTATTTTGTCTAGTAAAGCGTCGAGTTTCTCTGGACTCCAATTATGAAAGGTATGTGCGAGAATATAGAGGTCTGCGTCGGGGAATGCATCAACGAAGAAATCTCCTAGAAATACAAAATTGGACTCCAATTATGAAAAGTATGTGCGAGAATATAGAGGTCTGCGTCGGGAAATGCATCAACGAAGAAGTCTCCTAGAAATACAAAATTTGACTCCAATTATGAAAAGTATGTGCGAGAATATAGAGGTCTGCGTCGGGGAATGCATCAACGAAGAAGTCTCCTAGAAATACAAAATTGGACTCCAATTATGAAAAGTATGAGCGATAATATGGAGATCTGCGTCGGGGAATGCATCAACGAAGAAATCTCCTAGAAATACAAAATTGGACTCCAATTATGAAAAGTATGTGCGAGAATATAGAGGTCTGCGTCGGGAAATGCATCAACGAAGAAGTCTCCTAGAAATACAAAATTGGACTCCAATTATGAAAAGTATGAGCGATAATATGGAGATCTGCGTCGGGGAATGCATCAACGAAGAAATCTCCTAGACATACAAAATTGGACTCCAATTATGAAAAGTATGTGCGAGAATATAGAGGTCTGCGTCGGGAAATGCATCAACGAAGAAGTCTCCTAGAAATACAAAATTGGACTCCAATTATGAAAAGTATGTGCGAGAATATAGAGGTCTGCATCGGGAAATGTATCAACGAAGAAGTCTCCTAGAAATACAAAATTGGACTCCAATTATGAAATGTATGTGCGAGAATATAGAGGTCTGCGTCGGGGAATGCATCAACGAAGAAGTCTCCTAGAAATACAAAATTGGACTCCAATTATGAAAAGTATGAGCGATAATATGGAGATCTGCGTCGGGGAATGCATCAACGAAGAAGTCTCCTAGAAATACAAAATTGGACTCCAATTATGAAAAGTATGTGCGAGAATATGGAGATCTGCGTCGGGGAATGCATCAACGAAGAAATCTCCTAGAAATACAAAATTGGACTCGAATTATGAAGGTATGTGCGAGAATATAGAGATCTGCGTCGGGGAATGCTTCAACGAAGAAATCTCCTAGAAATACAATGGTTGGTGTGGGAGGGGTGTATTAGTCATTGTATCTTTACACCTTAGATGATTGTTTGGGATATTTGGGGTTTATTTTCCTTATGACCGGTTGTGCTCTTAAACGTTTCATTTTATTAGTCTGTTTTTGTAGCACCTTTTAGTCCTTTACCTTTGATACTTGTGCATATACATAATCCTTTTATCTGAGCATGCTTATTTTTTAAGGAGTCCCTCTCAAATAATTCGATTCGATTTTCCTGAAAAAGTTTGAGCTATGAGTGCTATAAACATCCTTTTTGTATACATTTCACTTATTTTATCCTAGAATGAATGCACTAAACGGCCATGGGACTCAAGTTGTGGTGGTATGGCAAATAGTTCTAATACAAACCTCCGCTGTAAGATATAGCTTCCGATCTTCCTTCTGACATGAAATCTCTTGACTGTTGTACGACATCTGACCTGTCCATTACTGTCACCTTCATGGTAGGATATGCCTTGACGAGAGCTTTCGCCAGTGATCCAGTTGACCCTACAGCATATGATAAGTCGAAAATGATTTGGAATATGAATGTGTATTGTTCCTTGAAAAAAGATTAGTCTCAGGTGAACATGAAAAACCACTTTGATACATTATTTGTATGTGATGGAACCAATTAAACAAAACAACTCATTATATGATTGGGTGATCACCAGACTGAGCCTGTATTCGCGAATGTAGCTAACGCCTGTCGGCTACCGGATTAACCTACTACTTTATGACCAACTCATTTAAATATGAATGGAATAGTGGCAGATACTATTCATATTTAAATGAGTTGCGCATAAAGTAGCAGGTTAATCCAGTAGCCGACAGGCGTTAGTTGCATTTGCGAATACAAGCTTAGTTTGACAAGATTAGGCCATTAAAACACGTCCTACCTCCGAGGTCACAGGCCACAGAATAGGAGCTGAGATCGAAGACATTTACAAGTTTAGGAGCGTCCATACTGCAGATAATGTGCATGCTTCTCATAAACTCAAGCTGTGTGGTTGGAGTGACATAGTAGTTGAAAAACTCCTCGCTACTAACTCGGTCGCCTAAAAACATAGTATGAAAATTGATTCAACAGGTTCTACCGTAGTTTTTAAAGTGCCCGATAAAGTATAAAATGCGCATGCGTCCAGGTGTTGATAAACTATAAATAGCGAAAATCCAGGGTTTGTCACCACAAGGTAAGCCAGGACGTGTTGAGAGAACAGCTAGTGTTGATATTGAATTTATATGTAGCCAGATAAGTTTCCTTATTGAAATTACATATGGTTATTAGCAATACTTCGTAGGTGCTAAATAATAAGATATTTAGAGTATATATGAGAGAAATCGGTCATTTCGAACCTGTTGAAAAGTTTGTGGCTCTCGGCTACACCGGGGAATTTACTTCCATGAGTACACACATAAATGTGGGGTTCCCCAAGAGGTACGCGACAAGGTGACCTGGCATCAAATGTGCGACTAAATGCTACTATCGAGAAGATAAAATAACGAATACGACAATAAGTTATTGCATGTGACAATTCCAAGCCTTCATCTCACTGAAGTATTTTGAAGTGAAAATAGGGTTTTTGTTTTGATACATGGATTCAGATGAACGTAACTTTATTCTGACAACAAATCAAAACTGAACAAAATTGATTGTACGTAACAGACAATTTATTGTTTTCCAATGTTTTGATTGGCTAAACGAATGAAACCAACAAATTATGACATGTAAAATGACAATTTTGAAATGTAAAATTTAAAAGTGACAAACACAACCTCCCTATCCACTCTTTGGGAGCCCTAGTAAATTAGTAATATGTACATGCAGCAGTGGTAGTGTGCAGCCTATTATCACATTACGCTTTGTATTCTAAAGCCTGTTGTTTGTAATTACACTGTTCACTCAACGTATGTTTTGTGTGTGGGCAGTCAACGATAATCATTGTCTTATCCCGGTTATATGACCTCGGCAATTATAACAAAACCGTACTAAACGAAAAAAACGCAAATAAGAGAAAGCTTTCACACACATAAAAAAAATGAACTAGTCTAATCCGCCAGTATAAACTCTGTGCTATACGTAGCCGGGTCAGGCGCACACTTTAAGAGGTAGAACTTTACCGAACTTTAACGAAAGCTACCGATCTAGAATTAATCGTTGTGTAAAGTTGTCTACTAACATTTGGTCAACTTGACATGGGCACTATTTCATTAAAATAAGAAACACATATTATTTTTACAATACAATCACCAAGCATATTATAACCTAGTAAATACAGAAATAACTATTTCCCAAGCTTAAGAGCAGAGGAACACATACTGATGAACATGGATATACCTTTAACCACGCAGTCCTTCAGCTGACCCCACATTGGGTACACAACATTCAGATTGGTCATCCATCGGACAGAGTCTGGACTAGATTTAGTGAGATACTTTGTTGTACTATCGGGGTTATTGTAGATCGCTGAAACAGAAAAGCATGCGTTTACTTTGTAGAAATCACGGGGAGTGAGTCGACAGATAGGTGGCAGTTGTGGTCTGTCTATCCTATGGTAAATATAAAGTCGCATAAGGCAATTGATTATAATACCTATTGAAAGTCCGTGATAACTCCTATTTTTGAACCTCAGCTATCAGACTAGAAACAGTTACCAGTCTACAATTAAGTACATAAACTTACTTTCCCCATCTTTAAGAGTTTTGTTCAAAAGTTTTAACCCGACACATGCGTTGAGAAGTCTCTCTGTGGCATCTGGATTGGCTTTGATTTTCGCTGCAATGGCTTTGGACGATAGAGGACCATTTGTGAGCTCTTCAAATACACCGAGCTCTCCTGCCGAGAAGAGAATCTGAAATTCAGAAAAAGTTCCATTGAACAGCGTGCAGAATGATTGGATGGGAATTTAGAATAAAAGTTCAAATTGCAGATGTTATCTACGACTGTTTAAAATTGTTAATTGTAATGTTATTTACGAATCCAGATTTGGGTTACGTATAACTTAATTAAAGGTCCCACCTGTGTTTTCTGGAAGCCATACAAGATGTCCACAATTTCCTGCTTTTCAAGTGCCATGTTCCTGTGGAGTAGTTAAATAGTATTCAATATATCATGGAACATAAATTGATGTTTTTATTTAATTCAGAGGGGTTACTCTGAAATATACTCTCAAAATATATATCAAATATCTTTATCGAAAGATATAAATCACGCAATGCATCCAATAAAATATTGTAATGACCAGGCACCCTTTAGTTAGTTAATTATAAATAGATAATTAGTCAGACAAGCTTTTTCATTTTCATTTTTTCTGTTTAAGCTGTAAAACGTGCCCAAAAGTGGGATACCGGTGTATAATAATGCTCACAACAATAAAACCACATGTAAAAGGTGCGGCAAAGACAAGAATAGACAAGACAACATTCCACGTTGTGTCTATTTCAAAAAAATGTTACACAGTTATGACTATATCTCAGGATCATTCGGTAGTAATTTTGAGACAGAAGACCTTCCTCCTAACATGGGCTTGAAAGCAACTGCAACTTAAATCTTAAATAACTAATGTATTTGAAACATATTAGATGCAAGGGAAATATTACCATAACTGTCGAAAACTGTCGAAAAACATTTTATCCTGCATTTTTTGCTTCCACTTTAACTTCTTGTTCATCAACAGCCATTGTATTTGTTAGAATTCTTAAAATTACACTATTTCTTATCATATACGAATCAAAACATCGATATAGCTGATATATTAAATATAACAAAAATGTTACCTACCTTATACTTATGATATTTAGATAAAATCCTGCACGGAAGCAATCCTTTGTTAATGGGAAATGTACTTGCACTGAGCATTTATCAAGTCTTCAGATTACATATAATTGTGAAGGGGCAAGGGTGACAATCCCAATGCAAACAACACCTGTGCAGATAAGCCAATGTGCTATTTCTGGTCTTTTATCTGGTCTTGGCAAATTGTTGTATCACCTTTTCTCGAAAACTTAATACTTATTTTCATATTCGCATTTGAACAACAGATCCAGATATGAATTTACTAGTAATATACAGATCATTTGGTATTAATGTCTAGTATTGTATTTTTCGGGTGGTGTTTTTTCTACACGATTCGGGGGTCTCGGACTGATGAACATGTGTTTGGGAGATGCGTAACCTAAATCTGGATATATGAATGGTATTATCAATAACGGTAGACAACATCTAACACCTCGTTACATCTAACTATTAAGCTGCAACTCATGCAGCTCATACAACATGAAACGTTTCCAAAACCATTTAAATTACTGAGTAATGGTCACATTATTTCGCCATTTCTGCATCTACCATTTAATAATTTAATGCAAACGTTCAATTTTACAACATCTAAATGTTTTGCTTGAAGCACAGTTTTTGTGAGTTCATATTACAAATAACGAAAAAAGTTTCTTTGCGGTTTTAACAGCGCTGTACCATTGTAAATAAACTTTTGAAACTGATCTTTGTAAGAACTAAACCTCTTGCTTTTCCTCATTTTTAACACATTATTTTCCTCTAAAACATTCCCCCATAATATTGGCAACCGGAAATCACTCATCGATCATTTTCAAAGCCTCTTTATGTTTGGCGATTTAGGCGAATTGTGTTAGGCGAGTATGGCGAATGGCGAGCTTGGCGAATTATGTGAGACGAGTTTGGCGAATTCTGTTAGGCAAGTTTGGCGAATTATATTATATTACTCAAATTGGTGTTGTTTTTAACATGAAGATGGCAGGAAATCTTTTAACTAATTATTATATACACCATCCTTCTTCAAAGGACTTTTAAATATAAAATTCATACTAGGAAATATTTACATCTGCATTGATAAAGCTCGTACAAGTAACGATCGAATATTTCACGTACACAATAAAAAAGAAGATAGTATTTACAAAATGTTGTTTTAACGATTTGTCGTCCCTGATGAAGCTATCTATGGTTTAAGCCAACTGATCGATCCATCCAGTCATTTTGAAAACATCGTTTATACAAATTACTTCCTAGATGACTATAGATCTACAAGTAATAATTCTAGAAAATGTATAATCATATCATTCCATCCTGACAGCGCCCACTGACTAACAGCCTTATATTATAAGATGATTTTATCAAACATTCTTGTGTGTAGAAAAGACAATGAAATAAAAGAAAATACTGTATTATATAGTATTGAAGTGTTTTGTTATTGATTATGCTTTGTGTAATAGAAACGTGTAATTACTTGATAAACGAAAAGAAAAGCGCGTTTCTAAGTGATAGTCATAGAGATGAAGCTATAGAATCTCGCTAATCTATTTATCTTAAAAGGGTAAGAACTCCAAGAAAATACATAAAAATCATTAAAATGGATGTTCGTCAATGGGTTAATTTAAGCTAAATTAACAAAAGCTTTGGTTGAACAAAAAAGCTAGATTGAAGGCAAACACTACGAACGTAGCAATGACATATTCGGAGTTGCTTACGGTTAGGTAAGTCGCATTTTAAATTGTAATATACCATTCTACAAAATCTTCAAAACCACAAAAGCCAAATCAAGATCATTTCAAATGAATTCAGTTAGTTTTTAATTTTTGTTTACAATTATAGTTTAAGTTTCACACTTTTTATTCCCATCATTAATTTAACATATATAAACAAGATGTTTGGTTCAAACAGGCCGTCTGTTGGACTTTGATTAAATATATTTATGAGATAGTATGTATAATGTACTTAAAAGTATTTTTTGAAACAAAAACGTAACATTTCATAGGCAAATGTTTGAATGCTCATAAAAATACATAGTACCTCACACTTAAACTCCAATTTAAGTTTTTAGTGCTTTCTCAATCATATATCTTCATGATATTTAGCATAATTGAACTTGAAGATACAATCTATCTGTCATTTGTCAAATGTTTACATTGTTTTTATCATAAATTTGTGTAAATACACTAAAAAAACATGAATTTAAGATTTTCTAGAACAGTTTTTGAGCATATCAAAAAGGGAGATATAGGACTCAATTCCGAATTTTTCGTAACAGCAAAATATTAAAGCTGAGCTATGTCCATTTCGTTATGATTTTTCAATGGACGCAGATTTCTCTATTTATTGTTTCAAAAATAAATTCAAATCTCAGTTTAAAATTGTAATATAATAATTGCTTGTCACATGATGTAATTCAAACAATTTGATTGGTTAAAATGCTACAAGGGACAAAGTTAAATTGTGTTTTTGAATTTCTTATGGAGTTAGGACAACTGAAAAACAGGCTATCGAGATGAAATAAATGAAAGGGAATATCACAGGAAGAAAGAGGATGATTTAAATAGTGAAAATCTCAATTTTTCAAGAATGACACTTGGGACATTATCATTCTCATAGGACGATGTATAAAGCTTCTTGGAATTAAAGGATTAGTATCGATATGGAGAACTGAATTCAACAATGTTTTTCTCTTAAACCAATTATTGAAAACATTCTGTAAAAAACACTTGATGTAATGTTGACTGATTGACAACAATCTAATGCGAAAATGATTTGTATATATTTTATATAACTGTTTTTGTTAACATTTTTTGTTTTTTTAGTGCAGTTGTTTTTTGTTCCTTTTTACCATTTTTTGAGAATGAAATAAAACATCTTTCCGAAGCTTGTTTGAACAAAATAGCATATACAAGTACAACATTTTCTTAGACTTCCCGATACTGTAGTTGTACAAAGGAAAGGAGTGGTATCGATATGGAGAACTTTTTGAACACACGTTTCTCTTAAACCAGTCATAAAAAAATCTAGAAATTTAACACATCGTCAATTTAATGGTAATCTTTTGAATGGTAACAATACCATTTGAAAGATATATATATACTTTCGTCTTTTTATTGATTTAGAAAACACATCAAACACTTGTTTTGTTCTTTGAATCACGTTTCCAGAGTGAAATGAAATATCTTTCCGAACCTCATTGGAACAAAACGACATAAACACAACATGTTTAGGTCTCTCAATATTGTAATTGTACAGGAAATCTTGGTTGATTTTTAAAAAGTATCTTGTTAATGAAATAAAAGGTTTATCTTGATTTTTGTCTATTTTGGGGGGATTTTGTTTTAATTTTTTGAATACTTTTTATAATCAACCAAAAATTCCTTTGTATTACTATGATATTGAGAGGTCTAGAAACATGTTGTATATGCTATTTTGTTCCAACAAGGCTCGGAAAGACATTTTATTTCATTCTCAAGAATTGGTAGAAAGGAGCAAAAGCAATTGCATTAAAAAAATGTTAACAAAAACAGTAATATAAAATATTTCTAAATAATTTTCGCATTAAATTGTTGTCAATCAGTCAACGTTACATAAAATACCGTGTTTTTTACAGAATGTTTTCAATGATTGGTTTAAGAGAAAAACATTGTTGAATTCAGTTCCCATATCGATACCACTCCTTTTGGTGAATTGAACAAAAAGTATTCAAAAAATTAAAACAAAAACCCCCGAAATAGATAAAAACTAAGATAACCCTTTAATTTCATTAACAAGATCCTTTTTTAAAATCAGCCAAATTTTCCTTTGTATAATTACAATATTGAGAGACATAAACACGTTGTGTTGTGTGTATGTATGTATATATTTATTGCCCTTTATATAAAGGAGATGTATACAAATTGTGTAAATGTTAAATTGAAAATAATCATGATCATGTCATTATGTTCCAATGAGGTTCGGATAGATGTTTCATTTCTTTCGGAATTTTTGGATGACTGGTTTAGGAGAAACGTGTGTTCAAAATCAAAAAGTTCGCCATATCGATACCCATCCTTTCAATGTATTTCATTCGGTTCACAGATTTCATTTCTTCAACATCCTCGCATATATGAATGTGCAAGTTTCTATCTACCATCTAGCGCTTCGAGGATGATCAACATGTTTTAAAAAACTTCCTGGAGTGTAAATAAAAAATATATGCTATAATATACAGGGTGGGCCAAAAACCAATACCCAAGTTTAAGGATGAATGATTCATATGATACTGTATATCTTAAACCATGCCATGCATTATTTAGCATTTAAAGATAAATCATTTCCTAACAATATGACACCTGACACCATCAGATTTAAAGGCTAAAATTGACACCGGGGGTGTCATGAGCAACAAAAAACAAAAAATGAAAATTCCCCAATTTAATTCCCTTCACATTGCAGTCACAGCTACACTCAATATGCTTGACTAAATCATTATGAATCTATTTAAGAATAATACACAATTGATAGTTAATAAAAAAGATATAAGTACTATTGGTGAATTTTGCACTAAACTTGTATAAATGTACCTCTTTTGAAGGTTCAAATTTCCTTTCATTTTCCATAATTTGGAAATCCGCAGTGAATAATTTTGTGGTCGCTCATAACACTCAAGTGTCAATTTTAGCCTCTAACTCCTCAAGAAAGCAACGGGTTTTCTGAGGATCTAAACAGGTGCATATGTTAGGGCAATGCATTATCTCCAGGAAAAGCACTCTTAGAGGTGATAAAATTATTTCGACTTTGAGACAGGGGAGATGCAAACAACCCACGCACATGTTTTTCTGAAATGTTGTCCTGATTTTCAACCCCTTCCACCCGAGTCTACCCCTCTTTTTCAATTTTTGTTGCATCAATATGCTGCGTTTTGATATACAGTTAACCCCTTTATTTTAAGGAATAAGTAATTCCTCTTCGATAAAGTGGAAAACAATATTTCCCATGTTATTTTCTCATAGGGAAAACTCGTGCAATCCGTTGCTTTAAGCTAATTTTGGTCACCCAGAATGGATATCTTTAAAACCCCTAAAGGAATTACTTATTCCTTTAAAGGGGTTAATTGAGTGTCAACACGCAACATATTGATTGATGATATCAGGATAACATTTCAG